GCTTCAATGTGCGGGTGGTGTAATTGATAATGTCTCGAAATTATTAATCAGCGAACCGAGTTCCAATTCACTTTGGGTTCGTTATATCCACTTACGAGAAGATAACTTCTGGAAAGGTATAAAATTTATCTCTTCTCCCCCAATTATGGGTTAATTAGTAAGACTTGTATCACTAACCATTATCACAAAAAAAAGAAAGAAAATCTGTGTAAAATATTTCGATTTCGGCATTAAATAACCCATAGAAGTTGATGTGATGCAAAAATATCTATCATCATAAATAGACGAATAGAATTCTTCTTTTTTTAAAATATTTAAATCAATTAATGCCTTCTGTTGTGCTGTGTCATTGGTTGACAGCCATAGCATTGTGCGTATATTGGCATACTCTTTCTGTTGAAACTTGACTAATGCATGGAATAATAATGCAACACAAAATGTACTTAGAACAAAATGTATTGAAACAAGAAAGTGTACACAATATTTACATATAGTCTTTTGTATATTCCTGGTAAGACCGTTCCTGGAGAATGTGTTCACTGAGTCGCAGTCGGGCAGAGTCTCTGGTTGAATCTCTTGATTCCTCCCTCTCTTCCCGGTACCAACCATATTTATATGGTCGGTACTCCACTATGCAAATTAGGTGGATCCTACCACAACACTTTCTAATGTTTTTACGGATTTTTACCAAGTTATTTCTTTTGTGGGATTGAGAAACTTATAAATTATCTTTATGCTCCTTTGCGTCAATGGAGCCTTTTTGTTAATATAACTTTATCATTTGGTCACTTAAATTTTCGGATTTTACTTCACATTATTTATTTTGCCTTTATGCCAACATTATTTTCAGATTTTTGCTTTGCAAAGATTATTTATATTGTGTTCCAATTCACTCGAGGAATTTTTTTTGTTGTTGTTTTTGTAGATTTGTTCTATTTCCTTATCAATATACAGAGCTACCTCGGTTCTCGAAACGTCTCACATGTCGAACAAATCGGCTTTCGAACGGAAAATTCGAGATGAAAATGCTTCGGTTGTCGAACAAACTTTCGGTTCTCGAGCAACATTGTCGAACCGAGCCGAACCGTGTTAACCCGAACGAAATCATTTCTGAGTCGTTGTATAAATTGGTGTGTTCTGCTTTTCTTTTCCAATTTTATTGTCCTTTGTTTTTTTTTTCTCTTTATTAGTCCTCAGTCATGGCTCCAAAGAAAGCTAGCAGTGATACTTGGAAAGGAAAGAGAAAAGTTAAGAGAAAAACAATTGTTGATGATATTATCTCTTCCTACTCAGTTTCATATGGCAAAATCAACGATCTATATTATTCTTATAAATAAAGAGACGATCATGTCTTTCCTTTCCCTTTTCCAAACAATAACATCTCTTTCCTTTCCACTGACGCTAGCAATTCTCCTACTTACAGCTACGGTAAAATTAAAATATTCATCTATATTTTATCTGTTTGGTATTGGGTTTTTTTTTCTGATATTTAATGATTTTCATTAGTTTTATATATAAACTTGTGCACAAAAAAAGTAAAAGTTTAAAAAAGCAAACATCTTGGGACCAAGAACGGATTAATCTATTTTACATTGATTCCTATTGGAAAAATAGTTTTGGTTTACGAACATTTCAGGTTACGAACGGGCTTGGGAAACGAATTAAATTCGTGAACCGAGGCTCCACTGTATATATATATTATTTTTATTATTATTTTTATTTCGAAGAGATGATCTGTAAATCAAATGCAGTGAAATACTCATTTCTATTTGGTGAGAACAAATAAGAAATATCCCATTTGTAAAAGACTAAAAAAGGGTTGATTAAAAAATAGGGCCCGTGTCGCCTCTAAGTGTTGACTTCTATGTTCACTTTTATATTTACACACGCTCTATCTCTGATATTGAGCACTTTATCCCATAAATATAGCACATCTTAAGACTATATTTCTTCATATATATATATATATATATGTGTGTGTGTGTGTGTGTATACGTGTGTGTGTGTGTGTATGCGTGTGTAAAGTAATTGAGAAAATTGTAAATTATTAAGAAAAGCAAATATATTCCCTAAAAAGATCAATTTATTTAAAACACTTGTACACATATTTAACTTAGATTAGTGGTGGGCAAACTTATTTTTTTCCGGTGGGTCACGTGTGTTTGTCGGGTTCATGGTGAGTCGAAGTTATCAAAAACACTTAGAATAATGAAAATACAATAAAACACTCTTTTTACCACTGAAATTTAATAGTAACTAAAATTCCAATGTTCATTTGTGGTAATTTTACCTTATTCAATTCTTAAAAAGTTTCATATCATTACGTGATTAGAAAAAAAAAATCAGGTACTGCCTACTGCAAATGAGCAAACTTTATTATTGGCCGTCGCACTCTGAAGGTACCCTTTTTCGATGGGACTTGTGGAACTGCAGTGAATCGTCTGGTTGTCAGCTTACTCGTAACTATTCTCAGAGTAACATTCAGTCTACCGTCTGTCTAGGGAGATCTATTTGACGATTAATTGATGTTCGCACAAAATAACCTAGAAAGAATTTAAAAATTTTTTCAGGAACAATCAATGAAATAAATAGTCTTACATTTAATTAGATTAGAAATTAACCAAAATAGAAGAAAAATCCAATAATGTACGGTAAGAAAGAGTCACTGAAATATTTTCGCGGGTCGCACTGAAATCCGTTGCAGGCTGGATCCAGCCCACCACTGACTTAGAAAGACAAAAAAGATTTATTCAATAAAATCGTCCTCAGCCTAGAGAACGACCTCGATCCCGTCTTGGAAACAGCTGCATTTCCGGATCAAGTGCTTTTTGTTCATGCTGGCCATCACGTTCATGATAAGAGTCGTCAAGAAACACTAAGCTTCGGACTGAGGGAAGAAATCACATGTGTGGATTGACGTGATCGTGAAAATGCTTAGACAGCCACTCCTGGATAATATTGCGCGAACAAATACGGCTATTCACCTTAATCAATGGCTTGTCCACAATGCCCACAGATCTAAGCGAAATCTTTGGCACCTCGAAGGTCATGTAGAAAGGGGTTCGTGAAAATAAGAAACTCCTCCCATTTCTTAATGACCCAGGACTATCAGAGACGACGTGAATTTGATGTTCCTCAATGTGGTATCTCTGTAGCGTCCACACAATTCCACTATCTTTTTCCTTTTCTCCTCTTCCAAGAGACCCGCACTGAGTGAGTCGTCTTATTTCGTGTCTAATGGCAGCAGTAGAACGTGCCTTTTAATTTTCAGTCAGTTGCTATAAAAGGGCTCTCGATAATCCAATGGAGAAATGAAAAGATCATTTTGCACAAGCTGCGTATAATTACATTAGTTCTCTATTTAAGAATCATTTTGCCTTCCATCAGAATGGCTGATGCTAACCTCGAGGAGACAAATTCATTGTACCTTCTTGGCTTCATTTTCAATTATATAACTCGTATTCAATTGCCAAGTCGATAGATAGATAGCAATAAACAGAATGGCATAGATAAAAAGATAGATAGATAGATAGATAGATAGATAGATAGATAGATAGATAGATAATTAATAAACTTAGATCGATAGATAGATAGATAGATAGATAGATAGATAGATAGATAGATAGATAGTAATAAACAGAATGGCGTAGATAGAGAGATTTGTAGCAGATTTGCGACAAATGTGTGAAGTTTCATCGATCAATTCATTTCAAGAGATCAAATATCTACTTATCTATATGCGTGTAATATATATATACGCACACCCGCGCTCACACATGCACATAATTTATTCGAAAATTATAACATAAACATGTTATAAAATCACTACAAAATAGCCATATTGTTTCAACACTTCTGGTGTCTTATCAATTGATGGTGTTGAATATTTGCTCTACTCTGTATTGAGCACTCTTTTAAGAATAGTATTTTTGGTTATTGAAATTTATTCCGTATACACCATCCTATACTTATATATATATATATATATATATATATATATATATATATATATATATATAGACAGAGAGAGAGAGAGAAGACGGAGAGAGAGAACAAAAGAGAGAGATATCCTCTTTATGGGAAATGAGAAATTAAGACTGTTATTTACAAGCCTTAACCGATTTTTCAGACATTGTGTCATTGCTACTGCCACTACGTGATGCCCTATGAGAAGTGGCGCCTGGAGGAAAGCGGACCTTCCCCGTTATTTCGTTTTCGTACAATGTCTTCGGCTATTTATAGTTTAAATTGTTTATTTTCGTTATGTATTTGTTTTGTTTTTTTGTCGGAATCAAGTTCCGACAAACTCCAAGTACATCACGACACTAATGATCAAATAATATCCTATAACTCAAATCTAATAAAGTTCATTTCAATACCAAAATTTAGAACAGAAGAAAGAACATAAAATTAATCAAATAAATAAATCCAATAAAATTTCGAAATAAATAAAATTAATTATTAAAAGAAGAACACTATATTTCATGTCTATAGTTAACGAAGACATTATCCTGTGTCAAAAAGTATATGAATTATAGGAAATTTAAGCATAGGTTAAAAGTACACAATTTAAGGGATGGTGAGTGCGATCCTTTTTTACATACACCCACACACACAAATATCTCTCTCTCTCTCTCTCTCTCTCTCTCTATATATATATATATATATATATATATATATATATATATATATATATATATATATATTGAGGTAAGAATTTGAAAGCTTTTTTTTTGCATTTACAAAGTCTTGAAGCCATCATAATTAAAAAACCAAAACCCAACATAAATGAAATAGCATTTAATACTGGCAGCAACATCTTAAACATATTTAATAACTAATCCTTCAAATAATAAATACCAACCACCCACCATTTTGCTAATGAACTAATCCAACAACACTGCCTCAATACCCCAAAAATATGATCTATAAAATATGAAATGGAACTATTGTTTTTAATTTAATTAAAAAATTAAATTCGAAATTTTTAGCTTCCATTT